TTTTTTTTTTCTTGAGACAAAGGCTCACTATTCCAGGCTGGCCTTGAACTCACTATGTAACCTAGGCTAGCCTCAAACTCACTGTGATCCTCCTGCTTCAGCCTCCTGAGTGCTGGAATTACAGGTGTGTGCTACCACCACCTGGTTTTTCCTTTTTCTTTTAATTTGTTTTGTCATGTACATTAAAAGTTTTCACAAAAAAATTACAGTATCTATATGAAAATCAGAACTGCTAAAATCAGGAGGCCTGGCCACTGGGTCTGCTTTCTTGTCAGGAATAAGCAGCCGGAGGCTGATGAGCAGGACATGGATTCTGCAGCTGCCCCCTGCCTTCCGCTGCACCCTTGACTATCTTTAGACCCTCCCTCCTGACTTGTTTAACTCATACACATGACCTGCCTGTCCCTGCAGGTGGCTCTGCCCCATGCAGGGACTTGCCCAGCCCCAGCAGTCTTCACCTGTCACATCTGTGCGGGAAGTCAGGGCTGGCTCCGGCATGCTGGGCAAGTCAGCTGCAGAGGGAGCAAAGGGGCTGGTGGAGCCGGGCCGGGCTGGGGACTTTGGGAGGCTGTTGACAGCAGGGCCACTGGAAGAGAGAGTGTGGCTGGCCTGGGGCACTTCACCTACATTGCAAGTAGAGAAGGGTGTGAGAACAATTAGGTTCCTGCCCACCGACCCTCCCAGTCACCTGGACTTCAAAGCAAGCAGAGGAGTTTGGCACGTCTGCAGAGGGGAGAAAGAGCACCCAAAGGAGGACATTTCAGGATAAAGCCAAGGAAAGAACTCTGGAGCTCCTAGAACCCCCAAGCCTTGGTTTCCCCAGCAGTGCAATGACTGCAGTCAGCTTGCAGGGTACTTAGGATACATGCTACTATAGCCTTTTAAACACCATATGGTCAGTGCTTGTTTTCCTGGATATCACGAACTTCTTATTTCCAGGACAGCAGTGCATTATACAGAAATTGGAAACCAGCAAAGGATGCTCTTGACTCAAGTGGAAGCATTCTCCCACGTCATCCCTGAAAGCCCAGATATGCCATCCCTGGGCCTATGTGCAACCTCTTAACATGGCAAGATCATTTTATTGATAAGGAAAACAAAATAACAATGACAAAAATCTGAGAAACTAGGCGAGGGCACACACCAAGCTGTTCACACCAACACATTAACAAGGAAGGAGGGCTGGTGAGATGGCTCAGTGGTCTAAAGCACCTACTTAGAACAAGCTTGGCAAAGTACAGAGACCGCGGTTCAATCCCCCAGCACCACATGCCAGCCAGCCCCGCCCCCTGGTGGGCTGAGCTGGACACACACACACACACACACACACACACACACACACATAAATAAATTAAAAAAAAAAAAAAACAAGGAAGGAGACACTCAGTTAATGCTTGGAAGAGCCTATTATTTGGCTCATTAGTGAGCACGTACTGACATCATGTGAAAGTGACAGACAAGAGGCTGCATAGCCACTCTTGGTCACACATCCAGACCACCTCATGGAGCTGCTTTTATATCTGAGAAGTAGAAATAAAGGAAGGTGTGCTGGGGCTGGGGTTGTAGCTTAATGGCAGAACCTTTGTCTAGCAGGCACATGGCCCTGGGTTCCATGGAAGCACCATAAAAAGAAAAGAAAAGAGAAAGGAAAGGGGGAAGGAAGGAGTGGTGGGGAGGAAGCACAGAAGACGCTGTGCCACAGTTGCCAAATGTCCAAGGTAGGGGGGATCAGGTCAGGTAGGAAGGAGGGGGCAGACCTGAAACACTCACCACGGTAGATAAATATACTGGAGACCCCTGTGCCCAGCCCTGACACCTGCCAGAGCCCCTGGGACAGAGTGGGGAGCGTGGAGAGGAACTGAATGGGCCCAGCAGGGAGAGTAACGCAGCTCACCAAGGACGAGGAGGGGGGTTCCGCTGCAAAACAAAGCAAAGAGGTGGGATCTTCACAGCTCTGTCTCTCTGGTTCTGTTCTGTGATGATGGGGTTAACCTCTGACACCCACACAGAGCTCTAATGCTCCAAGGGAAGTGCCTATGGTGGTGTCCCCAGCACCTAGCAGGGTGGTTGGAAGAAACCAGGGCTCCAAGAACAAGTGATGAGAGAACACAACTGGTGGGCGGACTCTCCCACTGGCAGAGATACTCTCCTGGCCTCCTGGAGTGGTGGTTCCTGCTGAGACTGGGCGGGATGGGAGGAAACTGATGGGGACTGAGGAGACACTGAGGATACATGCAGAGGTGTTACTCCTGGGAATCCCTACCTAGCACCAATACCCAGGAGGGAGGGAGCTGGCCCCCTCCAGGCCCCTGCACCTACCAGACGCCTGCATGGCTTCCCTCAGCTGAATCTGGCCAGGTTCTGGCATCTGATTGAATAGAGCATGTGGTGGCTGGCAGGACAGCAGGGAGGAGTAGCTGGCTGGCCCCACCAGGAAGCTGCCAGTCACCATGGGCCCAGTGAAGGGTTCATCTGTTGAGGAGAGTGCTGTATCAGAAGCTGCAAGGGCCTCCTCGGGTGGGGAGGGCTCCTGGCACTATTAGAAGAAACATCTATCCCATGCCCATTGCCATTTGCTGTGGTGCTGACAGCCCACAGTTTGTGTAAGCCATGCTCAGCTGCTGTCTGTGACCAAGCCTAGAGCATCTCAAACTACCATGGTCAAGGTCCTGCCAGATGTCTGTGCACTCTGCCTAAAGGAGAGCAGAGGCCATATGTGTGGCCACCCCTGCCAGAGCGGGAGGTTGCTGATGTCCTCCTGGATGGGAGGGACATGCCTTCCTCTTCAGAGTGACAGCTTCCTGAGAACCCAGCCAGGTCTTCCTAGGCAGAGCTCCTGCCTTTGCCATCAGACTGAATTTGCAGGTGCTTACTGGTCTTGAGGAGGTCCCCCCCACCCATGGTGATCCCTGAGAACAGAGACTCAGCCTTCTCCCTTGGACTAGAAGCCTTTTGGTCTTTGGTCTGCTCTCTACTCCCTTCTGGTCCCCTCCTTTTCCATAACAACTGGGGTTGGGGAGGAGAAGAAGCCCCTGGTGGGAGATGGTAAGTTCGGGTGGGGTGGGGTGGGGATCAGCTCTGCATCAAAAGAGTTAAGGAGGGGCCCATATGGGAGAGGCCTAGCAGGAGAAGCTAAGCCTCCCAGGATCCTCACATACACCACCTCACAGTAGCTGTGTAATCTTAGACAGCTGACTCTACCTCTCTGAGCCTTGGCTTTCAAGACCTACTTCTATGGGCACCAGTGAGGAGGCCCAGCTCCCAGCCCTGCCCTGCTCACCTAGCTTTCTGTGCTTCACGTCTGTATGATGCTCCTCTGGGAAAGCTGTGGAGACAACATGGCGATCAGAGCCCCAGGGAAGCAGCCCCTCCCAATGCAGGAGGGTCACAGATGCCCACAGGCCAAGAGACCTCACTTGAACAGCAAGAAGGGCCTCAGGGGTGCTTCCCCTGCCTTCTTCTAACTGCCTGCCCCAGCTCCTCCTCAAACTGAACTCAAAAGACAACCACTATATGCTCTGGCAGCCTTCGCCAGCATGTGCCTGTGTGACACAGCCTTGGACCCTCCTGCGCATCAGCGTAGAGGCTCCCCTGACTTGTACTCCCCAGATTTGTGTCTCCAAAGCAGTGGGAATACACAGAGAATCAGTGAACACTTTGCACATCAAAGATGAAGAGTCCCTCACAAGTGGTCAGCTGGGGTCACATGCCCAATGGCACAGCCCTGAAAGACGACAGGATGCTGAAGGTGTGGGCTCTGCAGTACACTGGGCCAGGTACCGGAAGTCACATGGTGGATGGGGAGGGATAGTGGAGAGGACGGATGGGCGATAATGCAGCACAGCTGGAGTTTGCCGTAGAATCTAGGCAGCAGGAATCCAGGCATTTATGGTGTGATCTCATTGCCTTATTATACGTTGAAATTTGCATAATAAAATGATGGGAAAATATTTATTGGATGAAAATAGAAAGTCAAGAAGAAAGAAGAAAGAGAAAGAAAGAGAGGAAGAGAAGGAAAAGACAAGAGAAAGGAAAGAAAGCAAGAAAAGAAGGAACGGGAAGAGGAGGAAGAGAAAGGAAGGAAGGGTAGGAAAAAGAGAAGAGAAGGGAAGGGAAGGGAAGGGACAAAGGGCAGGGAACTTAGCAGAGTGGGGAGGAGTCAGATCATATGGGCCTTGTAGGAAACACTGTGTAATAACTAGAAGATTAGCAGGGTCTTATCTGCATTTAAAGGCTCTTGTCAGCTGTCACTTAAGGACAGACCAAGGAGGCAGAGAGACTGAGTAGGAGGTTCAGAGAGGTGCAGGTACCTGGCCAAGGTCACACTGACCATATATAACAGGTCCAGGATTCCAACCCAGTTCTTGCTAGGCAAGCACTTATTCTACTGAGCCATCTCCCCAGCCCTAGTTCTTGCTGCGGCTAGGACTTGTGCTTAAACTGATCTTTCTCAAATATCAGGGTAGCCATGTAGAGCAGAAGAGAAGCCAGAATAAAGAGTCATTTCAGGAATGATAACTGACAGGGACAGAACCTTACTGAGAGAGTGGCCAAGTGCTCGTGGGCTGTATCTTTCTTCCCTGGGTCACCAGCAAGCAGTGAATACAGAGAGGCAGCGGCGGACCCAAGGCATGTGAGAGTCACAGCAGGCTTTGGAGCCAAGAAAGGGCCAGGCCAGATGGGTCAGGGAGTGGCTTACTCACATCTCTTCTGACTTCTCTGCCCTGCTTCCTCCAGCACCTCCACACTCTCACTGGACACCTCTTCCAGTCCTATGTGCTCTACTTTGGAGAAAGACCAGAGACAACTCACAACTGGTGGTGGCCCTGAGCAAATCCAGGTTGTTCCTACACTGGGGAGGGAGGGGTGGTCACCAGGGATGATGATGTTCTAAGGACAAGGCAGGGGGCTGAGACCTACTAATCCCAACTTACTGAAAATGTCCTTGCTTGGGTCCTCCAGCTGGGCATCCTGGAACACATACTGGTCCAGTTCCGCTGAGCAATAACAATAAAAAAAAAAAAAAATCACCATCAGCAAGGGCTTGCTGAATGTCTACTGTGTGTTCAGTCCGGGCCCAGCACACAGTAGGAGCTCAACAAACATTGCTGACTGCATAAATGAGCAAATGAATAAATGAATGCTGACCCTCTATGGGGTTTTAGTAGGAAGGGGTGAGGAATGTGTCCATGAAAATATCCTACTCACACAAGTCATGCAAGTAAAAGTGGGCATGGGGTCTGAATTCAGATCCTACTTCTCCACTCCTAACTGGGCAACCTTGGATCAGTTACTCAACCTCTCCAGGTCCCCCAGTTTCTAATCTATGCAAGGAAAATATATAATGCCTGTAACCCAGGGTACATGGCAATGATTAGAAGCTGTGCATTTAAAACATTTGATACAGTGGTCAGTATCCAGTGGACATACCATAAATGTGGTTGTTTATATGAAAAGACACATGACTTGGAGCCACTGGAAGAAGAGCTGTCACAGCAGAAAGTCAGAGGAAAGAGTGGAGAACAAGTGGAGCAGTCAGAAAGGGCCTCCTAGGGGAGGGCCCTGGAGCTGAGTCTGGGTAAGGAGAAGCATGTTCCAGGAGGAGGCTGGATGGCTTTCTGGATGGTGGGGACAGAGTGAGCAAGTTTTTAGGGCATGAAGAAGCAGCAATTGCATAAAAATTTCATGTTGGGGAAAACTAGGGCTTGGTTTTTATGAAAAGCACTGGGGAGCCTTGGAAGACGTGTGAACTGAGGGATGAAGGTGCTGGTGGCAATGGCAGTGATGAAGGCTGCAAGATGGTACCCAGTACCTACAGAGGGTTTGCTCTGGGCAAATTCCTTTGCTAAGTGCTTCACCCATAATCTTCCTAACCACCTAACCACCTACAGACAGCTGGGGTTGTGACCCCCTTCGCACACATGGAAGCTGAGATAGTGATGCGTCAGAATGCCACAGTGACTGCTCGCCAGATGAGGACCTAGCCTTCCAGAAGCATGGGAGAAACTCAGGGACTGGAAGAACAGTTTAGGGAAGGTTCTCTCTCAGTAGCTCAGCACCTTCCACCTCCTGTAGAGATGCAGAGAGAGAGAGAGAGAGAGAGAGAGAGAGAGAGAGAGAGAGAGAGAGAGAGAG